TCTGCCCCAAGGGGGGGTAGCTTGTTACTCGAGCGAATAGACTCATCTGGGCTGGCCGGGTAAATTTAACCTGGGACTTCTTGATATACTTGCGATCAGGCCCGCAGATAGGAAGAGTCGATCTATATCTGGTATCGGACTGCATCGGGTACTATGACAGCTGGAGCGTAGAAGAGGTAGTGATGAAGATCGTGGCTAAGTCAGAATCAAGCATGGAAGTAAGTAGTCTCCAGTGAGTCCAAAGAATAGCAATGTTTGGATCCATGAAAGAGAATGGAGGGAGAATGAATGAATTAGGAGTGAACTGTGGAGGCAGCGGAGGTGGAGAAAGTCATTGGATGTAATGATGAGGTGGCCACGCGCGGGTGAGGGGAATCCTTCCCCCTCCCAATGAGCTTCGAGCTTCTCCTCCCACTCTAGGTATCTATCCTTAAGGTATCAATGCATCTATCTCATTGCCAATAATTTCATCACTGTATTACACAATAACTGTCATTGCCTATGTACGTTTGTACTCATACACTCGTTCCTCGATTACTTATGGTCTTTGGCTTGGCTCTCGTTTACTCGATCTTGATGGCCAACTTGCCGAAGTGCTTCTGCGCCCACTGTTGCTCTCATTAGTGACTATTCAACCACAGTCAGATCAATTGATAATCGACTTACCATGTACTCATAGGCCTCCTTGGTCTTCTCGAGAGTGAAGACCTGCTCGTCCACCACCGGATGGATGTCATTGGCCTCAATTGCCTTGACCATATCGTTCATCATGGCTTTACTGCCGACATAAATACCCCGCACCGTGCAGATGTTGCTCAAGGTAGCGAGCACGGGGGGCTGCGACTTAGGGTCGACACCTCCCACAAATCCAATGATGCTGATCACACCCTCGAACTTGATGCACTTGAAGCTCTGCTCCAGGGTACCGCTGCCACCAACCTCAACAATGTGATCGACACCAACGTTGTCGGGAGTAAGGCTGCGGGCAACCTCACCCCAGTTGGGCTGGGTCTTGTAGTTGATGATGTGGTCAGCGCCCAGCTGCTTCAACTTCTTGGCCTTCTCGTCCGATGAGGTGGTGGCAATAACTGTGGCACCAGCGGCTTTGGCAAACTAGATTTTCCGTGGTTAGTTCGCTGGGAGATGTCATGCTCGGGCTGAACGACCTACCTGCAATGCGAACATGCTGACACCGCCAGTTCCCTGTACCAACACGGTTTGTCCGGGCAGCAGAGGTCTAAGACCATACAGAGCGTTCCAGCTCGTGAGCGCGGCGCAGGAGAGCGTGCTGGACTCGATGTAGTTTAAGTTTCTGGGGGCTCGGACGAGGCCGTTCTCGTTGAAGACTCCATATTCACGGAGGGTGCCATCGATTACCCCACCAAGGCCGGAGCTGGTGCCTTTGGAGTCGATGGGATCGTACTGGTGCAGCTGGTTGAAGAGAGTGACCACCTTGTCTCCCTTCTTGAACTGGGAGACCTTGGAGCCCGTCTCGACCACCTCACCGGCACCGTCGGAGCCAGGTACAACTGGGAAGCTGAGAGCGAAGGGGTATGATCCCTGCAGCAGTCCAGATCATTAGCTGAAGGTACGATAGCAAAAAGCAGTGACTGGTCCCATATCATGACGGCATACCTGGGGAATGATCAGGTCGCGGTAGTTGAGCGAGGCAGCGTGAAACTTCACCAAGACCTCATTCTCGCCGACCTTGGGGACAGGCGCTTCGGCGAATTTGAGGGCGTTGAAACCATCCTCCTTGTTCTGGACAGTCCACTGCTTGTGAGTCGAGGGGGCCATATTGTCTGATGAAAGCCTAGTGAGCTGCGCAAGCAAAGTCGATTGTGAGAAATGAAGTGCTTTGATGTTCACTGAAACTGGCGAAAATAGGTTGGTGGGGGAGCTGTTATATGGAGACACAGCTCTGGATGATTGACGTAAGAGGGCGAGCTCCACCACAACTCAAACCGTATGATTAATAAGTGATAATTGAAGCATTAACGTTCAAGAACGGTCCGATAACCGTCCGAGACGGAGACATTCAATCCATTGGACGAATCAGTGGCTTCATAGCGTCTTCGAGGCGGTTCTCCATGCTGATAACCATGCAAAGGTCTTGGGCAAAGGTCGCAAGATACCGCGGGAGAGTGGAGATGGTTCTGCTTCGCCGGGTCTTCTAGAATGCCGAGCTGGGCCGACAATGTCAACCAACTGTGCTGAATATTGAGGGGAGATGCATTTTGAGGCTTTCGAGCTTGAGACGATAGGCAGTTTGCAGCAAAGTGCTTTCTAGCAATTGGCAAAGCTCCAGCGCCCTAGAACAAGATATGAGTAAATTGAAAGAGTGCGATGCAGCCGGCAGTTGTGAATCTGCTGAAGAATCTCTGCCCCACTCCGCCGTTCTTCCCTTTCACCCGCGAACCGCCAACCAAGCCTGCCCGCCAGCAACTTGTTCCATGCATGGGATGGAAGCATTTGGATTGTGATCGTTCACAGTCTTCGTTCAGGGTCGTTGAATAGTATTTGCTGATTGTCGGCCATTCTGAGCCTTATCAAGACAACACATCTCTGCGCATCGCGGCAGAAGTGCAATCGGTTCAACCCGGCGGGGCAACATGTAAACAACTGCCTATGCCATGGTTGGTGGGTCAACCGTGCCCAAGGTCACTGTGCTGAGTTTATTTCAATTTCTTGAGGTCGCAGTCATTGTAATTGTTCCTTGTAGCAAAGACGGGAAATTCCGAACTTTGGATGGAGAGACATGACGTTTAGCCTCAAGACACGGTCCCCTCACAGCGCGAACTCACCGTTATGATCAATTTGCGCAACGGGGAGGATATTCTCCATCCTATGACAACTGTTGGGGCGTTATTGTCAAAGATAAATGATATTCCACCATGAGAATTGCGCAATCGTCGTATGGTGATGGGATGGATCGACAATGGAAAACCATAATAAAGTAGTGTCTCATAAAAAGGTACGGAGTAAGCACTTGTCATAAAGGATGGAGGGGTAGTCAACGGCCTTAACTGTAATCATTCTAGCCCGCTTCTTCCTGTCGTATCCGCTCCAGGATCAAGATAGATTTATATTGCACTTCTTGCCCACGTATAAACCAGACATTTCACATAAATCCATCAAAGCTTCCGTACAAACAAGATGTCCCTCGGACGTACCTTCAAGCTCAACTCCGGCTACGAAATCCCCGCCGTTGGCCTGGGTACCTGGGTACGTGCTGAGAGCTTCAGCGTCGCAAGGTGAATCTTGTTAACAAATGCAAGCTGTCCAAACCTCATGAGGTCGAAGACGCAGTCGAAGTGGCTCTGCGAACAGGATACCGTCATATCGACGGTGCCCCTGTCTACCGGAATGAGAACGAGGTCGGGAGGGGCTGGAAAAACTCGGGCGTGCCTCGAGAGCAGATCTTCGTCAGTCCCCGAGCCACTCTCGCTTGAATCTTACTTATTGATCCCTTGACGAACAGTTGACTAGCAAGCTCTGGAACACGCACCACCGCCCCGAGCATGTGGAGGAGCAACTCGACAAGACCCTGAAAGACCTCCAGACCGATTATCTGGATCTATACTTGGTGCGATGGCCTCCTCACTCGAACATTGGCACCGTTGCTGAGAGATGATAGATCCATTGGCCAGTGGCTTTTGAGTATGCCGGGGAAGAGCTGAAGCCTGTTGATCCGGTCACCAAGCGTTTCAAGTTGGCCAAAGTCCCTATCGGCGATACCTGGAAGGCCATGGAGAAGCTTGTCAAGTCGGGCAAGGTCCGTAGTATCGGAGTGAGCAACTTCACCCGGGAACATCTCGACGAGCTCTTCCAGACTGCGGAGATCCCGCCAGCGGCCAACCAGATCGAGGCGCATCCCTATCTCCTACAACCTGAATTGATTCAGTATCTCAAGGACAAGGTAGACGGTTTCTATCCTTTGCAGTACTTTTTGTTATGTGGATGGAGCACCGCTGATCTGATACAGGATATCCTGCCTATCGCATACAGCCCTCTCGGCAACAACCTCGCTGGTCTCCCGCGGTATTTATGCCATGCCTTAACCCTATCATGATCATGTACTGATCGGAAATAGTGTCATCGACGACCCTTTCATCAAGCAGCTAGCCAGCTCGCTGAACCAAGACCCCGCCACATTGCTGATCTCTTGGGCCGTGCAACGTGGTACTGCCGTGCTATCCAAGAGCGTGACACCATCTCGGATTGAGAGCAATTTTCAGGGTACGGTACCCATATACTATGTTGCAAGCGAATCTCCACCGCATTTATGCACCGCGTGACTGACCGGACTTTCAGATGTCATCCTTCCCGAGCACATCTTCGAAACTCTAGACAGGCTGGATCGCCATTTGCGGTACGGATTTCCGTTCCAGTGGGGCCTGGACGTCTTCAAGGAGGTGGGCGAAGAGGAGACCGAGAGGCGAGCGGAGGAGTTTGCCGCGAAACAACGACAGCAGTTATGAGCTCCTCCCCTCGGTTTAGTATCGGGAGGTCTGTGATATATATAGCGCCACTGACAGTAACCCCCTATGATGGCATATACTTCTCGAGAGAAAAGTCTAAGTGTAACGACCCAATTCACTCTTGTCATCACAACATGAGTTGTCTCCAAGATAGAGAGTGGGTTGGACGTGCGTGAAAATGCACCCATGCATGCAAATGCAAGCGGAACCAAACCACCACCAGCAAGAGTAGACATCCGGAACGCACCCAAACAAAAATCCCCTCCACTCCGACAACAAACCCACATATTTGAAGAAGCATTATTTAGAACAACCCCCTTGGGCTTCAACTCCCCGCATCGACCTGTGAATAACAAACACACCCACCCTTCCACTCAGAAACAATGCCCACCACCACCTCCTCCCACCGAGTAACCAAACCACCCACCAACAGCAAGCGGGGAATCCGACGCGCATCCCGCAAACCAACCCAGCCAAGATCAACATCAACATCACCAACCCTACAATCCCAATCCCAACATGAACCCTCCCAACTTGACCCCCGAAAACAACCCAGTTAGCCCCCAAAATCCCCAGGAACCCCAACATACTAACCCCCATCCCCAGCCCCGCCACCCCAACCCCAACCAACGCAACCACTAGTCGAACGCACCAACGCCCTCCCCCTGGCCGAATTCATCAACCTCTACGTCCCCAAAGATGACCTCCACATCACCAATCAGGCCAACACCGGGGAGCAGCAGCAACAGCAGCAACAGCACTACACCATCACACTCTACACCGCCGCAACGCTGCCGCCCACCCTCTTCACGCAATGCTTCCAGCTCATCGAAACCACCTCGGCAGACGCCTACCGCGCCTCCTCAATCGGCTGGTCCTCCCCCAAAAAACGCAAGGAGATGCAGCTGCCCGACATCAAGTATCTGATTCTCCGGCGCGCCACGCCCCAGTCCCGGGAGACGAGTCCCGAAAATGAGCAGGAGGACGAGGAAGTGCTCGGCTTCCTCTCGTTCATGGTCACGTACGAGGACGGGTTCGAGGTGGTCTACTGCTACGAGGTGCATCTGGCGGCGAGCGTGCAGCGGCAGGGGCTGGGCGCACAGCTGATGCGGGTGTTTCTGCGGATCGGGGAGCGGCTGGGGATGGCTAAAGCCATGTTGACCGTCTTCCGGGCGAATGGGGCGGCGATCCGGTTCTACGAGCGGTTGGGGTTCGGGGTCGATGAGAGCTCGCCCCGGCCCCGGCGGTTGAGGAATGGAACAGTCAAGGATTCCGATTATCGGATTCTCTCGAGGGAGTATGCGAGAGAGTGATGGGCCACAGAGTGATGGGCTGGCTTTTCTACTGTACTGTGTATAAGACATAGATAGATTAATTTACACTTGCTTCACGTCCTTGCCCCGTACTTCGGGGTTGTCGTACTCCCATTCGTCGCGGAGGGCGGCGAAGATCGTGTCGGCCAGCAGGATGGAAAGCCCTAAGCTCCAGACGAGAGTGATGGCGTAGAAGAAGTTGGCGTTGCCTGAGCCGGCGTAGATCCATAGGTGGTAAAATGCCGGTCCCAGGAGCGTGGCGTAGAGCAACGCCGAGACGGCGAAGAAGGTATAGCGCATTACTGGTTGCTGTTAGTTGGGTGTTCAAGCCACGCGGCGAATGAGCTACTCACGAGGGAATAGATGTCGGTACAGCGGGAGGAGTGCAAAGTACAGCGAGGCGTCAGATATGCTGGGGTAGGGCTTGAAGACGGCAAAGATTCCCAGCAGGGAGCTCAGCACGAACAGAGGCTGTCTTCTTAAGCGTATCGTAAGACCGCCCATGTAAGAGGCCAAGTGGAGCCAAAAGACCCCGAGGAAGAATTCGCGAAAGGAGTCGAAGATCTCGATGAAGAAGTACCACCAAAGACCAACATTGGGCGTTAGGTCCGGGACAAGCAACTGGAACCCATATGTAGCAGAAACAAACGATCTAAAGTCCCCAATAAGGAGAGCTGATATCCCAAGCAAGCCGGCAATACTGAGGACGAAAATTGCCAGGTGCTGAAGTGCGAAAACGGTAGTGCTGGGGTAGGTCTTGGCTGTCTGCGCACGCTGATCATAGCACAGAAGCATGAGTGGGATGTAGAGTAACGCCGGGTAGATCGATAGATACGAGGCAAAGCCCAGTGCGAGCATCGAGTTGAAGGTCTTTCCGGTCACGGCACTAGAAAGCGCGTACAGGATTCCGATCGAGGTGAAGACCGCGGTGGACCGGCCCAGACATGTTGCGATGGTGAAGGGGTTAAACAAGAACCTGACAAAGTCAATGATGATATCCCCAAAGATGACCTCGTCACCTAGTGGTTTCCGTACCATGCTGCGATTGTCACCCCGTCCCACCTGATATGCTTCCGTATCGCCGAGTACGATCGCCCTGAGACTGCCCACCCCGACTCCGCAATTGTGATCAGGGCGTTTGCGTTTATCAAATCGATCAGAGAGTATAGCACGACCGTCGGAAAGGGGAAGCCTGGGGAGCTGGGCAGCAGCGAGAAAATCGGAAGAAGAAGTGGCGCCTTCACATTGTCAGCCCGATCTCATCCGCATTGTTCTGTTTGAGTGCCGTCCGTACCTGATGGAAGACGCCTCCATCATAGGGGGAAACATTGCGAGTATAGAGAAAAAGACCTTCTTGTACTGCAAGGGGTTAGCTTTCCATCACACAGGGCAGTCTTCTCCAGTTCAAGGGACTAACGTCGTTTGAAGCTGGTGACCGGGGTCGAGACCTCAACTCGGCCAGTCAACAAGTCGGGGAGCGAAGGGAACAACACCAGTAGCAGAAGTCGCAGAGCAAAAGCACCACCGAAAACGGCAGCTTTTCTGCGATCAACCCCCATACTGTTTCGTATCAGAGGAGAATATCAGAGCATGCCGGAAGTGGCATGCAATTGAATAACAGCAGCGCGGGGGGAAATCAGATTGGTGTTAAGTGTCAGTTGTTGTTGGCTTCACGTGCCAAGCGGAACTCCGCGCATTTCCCTTTTCCGCCGTGCACGGACCAGGTCCGCGCCGCTGCTCCAAAAAAGAAAAGAAAAAAAAAACTTATCAACGATTTTTCTGGTTATCGGATCTTTCTTTCAAGTCACTCACCCCTCGATTTTTGATCCAATCCCCCCATTGCAAAAATGGCTAAGATTAAGAAGAAGGGTTCGCATAATCTCTCTTTATGCGATTGATTTCTCGCTAATTTGAGACGCAGGAACCTCTGGCCAGGCCAAAAACTACATCACCAGAACGCAGGCAGTGCGCAAACTTCAGATCTCTCTGCCTGACTTCCGTCGACTATGTATCTTCAAGGGTATGGCTTCCCTCCGATGATACTACACAGATCATCTTGATCTATCTCTATCTTATGTCGTCTCACATGCTGATCGTTGCCACTTCATCGTCGGACAGGTATCTATCCCCGTGAGCCTCGCAGCAAGAAGAAGGCCTCGAGGACTTCGACCCCCAACACCACTTTCTACTACACCAAGGATATCCAGTATCTGCTGCACGAACCCCTTCTCCGCAAGTTCCGTGAACAGAAGGCCCTTGCCAAGAAGATCGCCCGCTCCCTTGGCCGTGGAGAAGTCGGGGATGCTTCTCGCCTGGAGAAGAACCATGCGCCGAAACTTACCCTCGACCATGTCATCAAGGAGCGCTACCCGACTTTCATCGATGCCCTGAGAGACCTCGACGATGCTCTTTCCTTGCTCTTCCTCTTCGCCAACCTTCCCTCTTCCGCCCACGTTCCTCCCAAGACCATCGCTCTGTGCCAGCGCCTGTGCCATGAGTTCCAGCACTACCTCATCACCACCAACTCCCTGCGGAAGTCCTTCCTCTCGATCAAGGGTATCTACTACCAGGCTACCATCCAGGGACAGGATATCATGTGGCTGGTGCCCTACCGATTCGTCCAGCGCGTCAACGGCGATGTCGATTACCGCATCATGGCCACATTCGTCGAATTCTACACCACCCTGCTAGGATTCGTGAACTACCGCCTGTACTCCACTCTCGGTCTCAGATACCCCCCCAAGTTCGATACCCGCAGTGACGAGAATGGCGCCGAGTTGGCGGCTTTCACCCTCGAGGGACGCTCGGTCGGCGAAGCCCCCAAGGCTATTGACGCCAGCAAGCAGGCCAGCAAGTCTTCCAACCAGGAGGTTTCCGGTGACGTGCAGGCCAAGGTCGACAAGGTCATCAAGAGCGCTGGTCTGGACCAAGCCACGGAGGAGCAACCCGCCGAGGCGACCGAAGAGGCGACCGACGCCATCGACAAGTTCGAGCCCGCCGCCCCCGAGGCCGACACCCTTCCCCAACCCGACCTGAGCGGCGAGGAGGCCGGCTCTCTGTTTGCGCCCTTCGTCTTCTACATCTCCAGAGAGGCGCCCAAGGCACCCCTGGAGTTCATTCTCCGCTCGTTTGGCTGCACCCGTATCGGTTGGGACGCTGTGCTCGGTGACGGCGCCTTCACACACGACGAGACCGACACGAGAATCACTCACCAGATCGTCGACCGTCCTTCTCTTCCCCAAGAATCGCTTCCCGCCGTTCCCGCCGCCTCCGCCGAGGGTGCCGTCCAGAAGGTCAGACCGGGCACCCGCATCCCTGGTAGAACCTACATCCAGCCCCAGTGGGTCTGGGACTGCATCAACGAGGGCAAGCTCCTCCGCCCTGATCTGTACGCACCCGGCGAGACCCTCCCCCCTCACCTGAGCCCGTGGGTCAAGCCTTCCAAGGGTGCCTACGACCCTCGCGCCTCCCTGGCCGAGCAGGAGGAGGAAGGCGAAGCCGCCGCTGCCGAGGAAGAGGACAGCGACGAGGAGATGGAGGAGGCTGGAGATGAGCAGGCCGCCGAGGTCGAGAAGGAGGAATCCGAGGCTGAGAGCGACGAGGAGTCCGATATCAACGGTGGTATGGACGTCGCGGGCACCGACGACGAGAGCGAGGAGAGCGAGGAGGAGGCGGAGGACGAGGACTTCGGCGGATTCGACGACAACGAGGCCGCCTCCGAGTCCGAGGACGAGGAGGAAGCGGCCCGCTCCCAGCACCAGAAGGAGCTGGAGGCCGAGGCTGCGGGTCTCCCCTTCACGTCCGGCGCGACCGGCGAGACGAAGAAGAAGTCGCAGACCAAGAAGATCGCGTCCCAGAAGCGCAAGGAGGAGGAGGAGCTGGAGCGCCAGAAGATGATGATGAGCCGGAAGAAGCGCAAGCTGCTGGAGAAGATGATGTACTCGAACAAGAAGAAGGACGAGGAAGCGGCCAAGCTGCGCTCCAAGCGGAGAAAGCTGGAGAAGGCGGGCCAGAAATAGATCGATGTTGTGTGCATCAAAAAGTGTTTAGTTCCTGTGTGTGATATTAGAATGATATCCTTGCTGGGTATTGGAGATATTTGACTCTTTGGCGTCTTGCATAGTATTTGTTATCGATAAGAATTTATCCACGAGTTGTAATAGGATTGTGCTGTTTTGCGGTATGCTTTTCGTAGTTGAAAGCCTCAGGTGTCTCTCACTCCAGCAGCTATGGTTCCATGAGACCACAGCACACTCTGTAATACCAAATATCTAAGCTACGAGCACTGGCAGAGCCCAAAAATCCCATCTATTCTGAGTATATCCATTGAGTAGTTGTCCGACTCTCAACGATCCCACGCCCCATGCATTGCGTCACGTGACCTCGAACATTTTCCACCCACATCAGCGCATCTCCCAAATCTTGAATTACAACTTCAACGAAAACCATATCAACCCACTTATTAACTGACGATAGTGATGACCAAGCCATGGAGTAATATATCCGTATATAGAGACAGCCATCGCCCAACCCCAGGGCCCAGGAGACCCCGCCAGCCCCAATGCCTTTCTCGTGCCAAAGTGCCTCCAACCCGATCTGCATGCATACATACAACTACATGGTCTAGATTGTTGACTCGCATACCATAAACACACACACACACACACCACCGCATCGACAACTGAAATACCAACCCAGCAACACAGACTAAGCTTTGGGATGCGTGTTACACCAAGATAACACAACACAACACAACACAACGACCCGCCCCCAAAAAAGCAAAGAGCAAAGCTGCTGCTGGGCACGATGTCCTCCTCAAACTACTACCCCAGCTCACCGCGCTTCGCGCCTCCCCCGTCCGCGCAACCGCAACCGCAAGCCTACCAATCCATCTTCGGGGGCGGCGACAGCAGCCAGGATGCGGGTGGGTTTTCGGATCTCGAGCTTTATCCGGATGAATTAGAGGGAAATCTGGACACGATCATGGAGGAAGGGGGTTCGCCTCGCGATGAGGGGCTTTCGGATGATTCGGATTCGAGTTACTTGGAGGAGAGTGGGGGGGAGGGGGAGGAGGAGGAGGCGGGGGACGCTGGACGAAGGAGAGGTGGTGCAAGGTTAGACGGGGATGAGCGAGGGAAGGTTGGTGTCGACGTGGTGGAAAGCCGTCGTCTTCGTCGTCAGCCTTCCTCCTCGCCAGATGCGGACGAGGAGGACCACTACCGGCCCAACCGTTTCCGGGGCCCCGAGTCGACCTGGAGGAATCTCACGGCCGAGGATCGACAGAATGCGCAGGCGTTGGTCGATCTCCGCGCCCGGGACCTGGCGGCGCATTTGTATAATGCGTATGCGTTGCGGGTGCGGGCGAGGGAGATTGCGAGGCGGATGAGTAGTGGTGGTGCTCTAGGGGGGGAGGGAACGATTGAAGGAGAGGAGGAGATTTTTGCGCCGCCGAAGAGGTGGACGGCGTGGCCGATGCCTGCGGCGGTTGTGCCGCGGCCTGGGGAGTTGGTGCGGCGGGCGATCGATGATGCCTGGACGCTGCGTCGGCAGCCGGATCCGCGGCCGAGTGCGGAATTGGAGGAATCCGTGATGGCTGTTATGATGAAGACCGCCAAGGAACGGTTCAATGCAAGAGAGTGGGAGACGACGAGGCCAGCAACCGGTGCGATGACGCCGCGGCGCAGCAAGAGGAAGTCCTCCATGTCGCAGACCGGGACCCAGGATGAGAGTGCCGGGGATTGGGAGAGTGAGGAGGTCGAGGAACCGGAGACGTTGGCCGGAATGAAACCCGTGGCTCTACGGCCCGTAGTGCAGGCGGACGATGAGAGGGCACGCGTGCAACTGCGGCCCTTGACTCGAAACATCCTCACGCAATTCGACACGCTGCTCATGGGCCTCCACCGCGCGCGGCAGGGCGACCTCGCTCGCGACGACGATAGCTCCGCCAGCGAATGGCAGACGGATACCGCAAGCGCGGTCTCAGGCTCGTCCTCCGGACAGCAGCCGAAACGGAAAGGCAGCACCGCTGAGAAAGACCGGAGTCTATCACGAGGGAGAAAACGCACACGACGGCCCTCAATTCGATCTGAGTCCAGCGCCGGGCCTTCTCGCTCACGAAGTACCCGCGTCTCGAGTAGTCGTGCATCCAGCGAGCACACATCCTCCAACGCAGCCTCGAGTCAGCGCTCGCTTTCGCAAGGGTCTTCGCGGTCCCGTGGCAGATCACGCAGCAGCGATGGCCGACAGTCCGTCAGCCGGATCCGTCAGGGCCTCCGGGACTGGAGTGAGGTTTTGGGGATTGCGTCCATGACAGGGTTCCCCGCCGCGGCGGTGATGCGAGCCTCCCGCCGCTGTGCGGATTTGTTCGGCGAGGATATGGCGTTTCGCACCTTCCACGAAGGACAGGTGCGACAAGTCCCGCTGGAAGCTGGCAGTGGGCCAGGCCCGTGGCAATACGTGGAGAGCGAGTCGGAACCGGAGGCTGAATTGGAGCTTGAGCGTGAGCGTGAGCCCGAGCCCGAGCCCCAACCCGAGGCGATTCCGTTATCATCACGAGCGTCATCCAGGAAGCCTCGCTCGCGGGCGACATCCCTCAAGGGGGGTTCGAGATCTCGCGCGACGAGTGCATCGGCCGATGACACGACCCGTCCCAGAGGGAAAGGCGAGCACCGGAAGTCCGATCTGGTGTGCCCCATCAGCAACTGCGATCGACATCATAATGGGTTCTCCCGAACGTGGAACCTGAATCAGCACCTGAAGACCATGCATCCGGGGTACCAGCCTCCGGTCTCTGCGAGAAAGTCGTCGACCGCCAAGGCTTCTAGGAGGAAGGACAATGCTAACGAGGGGTGATTGGCCGGAGGGAATATGTGTATCGAATGTGATGACCATGATACGCTATCTGTTGTCCATGCTACGAATAACTGAGAAGGACACGGCGCTTGCCTGACGATAACAACCAACGCATTTGTGAAATTGGCACTCCAGAGTCCTAGTCTTATTCTAGCATGCTTGCCGATAGCACATTCACTCAGTAATACTATAGTCTTACCACCGTACCCGATCCCCAATCCTACAAATGCGCACTAAAATCTTGGTAGCCTACCCAACCCTCCCCACCACAACTAATGAAAGAACCCTCAAGCAAGCCCATTACACCTCTCCCCCTTGTGCCAATTCTCCCCCGTCGAAGTGGTGTAATTCCACCAGAACCCCAAAACCTGCGGCTCGTCGGCGGGGACCGCACACTCCGATGCAAACCCCGGCAACCCGCCCACGAACTCGGCATACTGTGCCAACGAACACGAATACCCCGGTCCATCCTGGCAGGTGCGCAGGGGCACGACCGCCTCGTTCAGCACCAATCGCACGTAGATGCCCGCGGGGCCGAGCGCGCTGTTGCTGCAGTTCAGCCGCTCGATGGTCAGGCGGCCGCCCATGGGGATGATGTCGGTGATGCGCCAGTGTTGCTGGAGGTCGAAGGCGACGCGGTCGGTGGCGAGGGGCTGTGGGGGGGTCGCGATGTCCAGGGCGGCGATTATGGGGGTGATGTTGCTGTCGTGGGCGCTGGGGGTTGGGTTAGTGTGGTATACTAGGGGTGGGGAAGCTAGGAGGGGAAAGGGGGCAGGCGTACAAGTTGAAGAATAAGGGCCCGGCTGATGAGGGACCCTGCTGGAGAAGGGCGAGCGAGGCGTTGAGGTAATTCGCCCCGACGGCGCGCATGTATTTGTTTCCTGGGCTTTCCCACCCAAAACATCTAGCATCAGTATACTATGACCCAATTCTACTAGTGAAGCCATCCACTCACCCAGCGCAATAATAAAAGTTCACGTCCCAGATATACGAGAAACTGACCCATTCGTCTGTCGTGAATACGTCGATCCATTCGGACTCGCTGCGCGTGTTGAGCTCGTACGCTGTCATTGCTGCGCCGCACATTCGTGGGTTAGTCCAGTCTGACTGTGATGCAGTACTGTACTATAAATGTAGCAAAGGCTGAACTCAGAAAACCAGTCGTACTCACTCATCAGCGTGACAACATCCTCCCAGCTCAAATTAAGACCCTTATACTGCGCATTCAATCGCTCCGCCGCAGCGTCGAACTGCGGGAGATGGTACGGATACGCATTGCACTTGTCCCGTGCAGCGCCATCGTCCTGGTGGCACGAGGGCGTCAGACTGTCCGCGCCGCGACTGCTGGACTCCGAGATGAGGTTCAGGGCAGCGTAGGTCGAGTAGTTCTGCATCCCCACGAACCCTTCGCCGAACCGCCGGGCCGTGTCGATGATGCGCTGGAACTCTGCCGCGAAGAGCGGGAGGGTCGTTGACGTGCTGCTGCTGCTGCTGCTGCTGCTGCTGCCGTCCCAGAGATGACCATAGCGTGCTCGGTACTGCTGTCCGTGGGTATATGCCTCGGCGAGCCCTGCGTAGGGCCCCGTGAAGGTCTCGGCTTCGTAGCAATCCGACGGCACATAGTAGGTCCAGTTGCCGCGGAGGAAGTCGAGGTCTCCGCTGCTGTTCGAGGCCGCCTGCACGGTGCTGTTGACTTTCTTCAACACGGTCTCAATCGCAGGGCCCTCCCCCGAGGCAGGGTATCGCTCGCCGTGGCGTTTGACCATGATCACTTGGTCGACGACGCATTGCGGCGGCGGGTCGCGGCCGATGCCGTAGGACTTGCGGTCGACGTAGGGCCCGCGGATGCCATCGTATTTGAGGAAGTTGTCGCCGTCGAAGACTTGTTGCGAGATGTGGGAGGCCGGGAATGTGGCGGCGGTTGCTGCTGGGATCAGGAGGAGGTAACAGGGGACAAACATCCCGGGTTTCATGCTGTCACGAGAGCCGTGGATCAGATCTACAATATGAATAGTGCGCAGTTAGGTAGAAGGTCTCCGTCAATGGCTGTTCGGTGTTCTGAAAAGGTCTGGCCTCGCATTCACGTGAATCGCATTCCAGACTGATGAGCTCATGCAACAAGCATTGCGGGCGTTCGGAGACAGGTAGGCAGCTGTGACTGGCTAGGAAAGGGATAGGTTTCGCATTGTAACATGGAAAGGGGTTGGTATACTCTGGTACTCATGCGAAGGAGGCTCAAGACTGTGTAGTGTAGTGTATTCACAGTCTCTGGTTCCTGGACAATGATATCATCCCTTGCACTCCCTGGCTCAAACTCAATGGTATCTTGAACCCCCGTCAGCTCTCTTTGGGCTGGTCAACTCGCATCCATAATTCAGGTCGCTTATGTCCTATGGAGTAAGCTCATGCAGAATCAAAATCCGCACGTTAGATTGCCCAGGAATAGTCAAGGGAGGCGGGAAAGAAAGCGAGGTACTGTACATACACCAGAACAAGACACTGATGTAGATTCCCAGCAATCCACATCCACCCACGTATTCAGCCTGAACAAAAGAGGAAATGAAGTGTATAATCCCAATTAATGTACATACGAACAAATGCAACGAAAACAAAGCGCCTGAACCAACCAGTTGGTCGTATCCCATGATGAATATGCACGGTTCTTGCCAATATCAACAAGACCCCCAATGTCCTGTGACCCACAACGAAACTCGAATCCCGCCATTTTTGGTTCCTGTTGAGACCCTCATACCATATAATGCAATTGCCCGTGGACCTTTTCCGCCGCCGCCGTGTCAGAACCCAGGAAATGCTCGGTTCGAGAAGCCGATCGTCCACCGGGTGCTGTCAAGCTTCTGAGTGGAGATTACATCGCACGTCCCGTTTATTTGCCTTGGCGTTGTTTGTGCTTGGGGTTCTTCGAGCTGTGGGTTGAAGATACATGTTAGAATCTTTGATATTCAATTTGTGTCAGCCATGGCGCTTACCAGATGATGTAGACACGGTTCTTTCTCCGGACAGGCTGCGATTGGAATAGACAACATTAGCCGCATATCCACAGATCATGAACAATCCCTTTCACAAAAATACAGTGCAACTGCAGTATTCTGATGTACAAAATCCTCCTCCGCGGGGCTCGGGGTAGTCCTACCTTGCATCCATCACACAGGCGCTTGACCGAAGACCGCGTCTTCATGCCTCGGACCTGCTCGACCTGTCGCAGAGTCGCGCTGACCACACCGGTCTGCTGCCCGGAGCGCAGCAGACGAAGACCATTGCCGAAGGGGAGCTTGGCCAATTGCGAGAACGACCGGGACAGGAGACCGGCGGGTTTGCTGCGGGAGAAGGAGGGGAGGATCTGGCGGAGGGCACCGGTCGAGGCACCGAGGAGAGAGCGGACGGACATCATGGTTGTCGAAATGGCGGATAGACAGACGAGTCTGATTCCGCTATTTATTCGATGCGAAAACAACGAGCTGCAGCAGAGATATCGGGACTTTTCAACCCCCAAGGTGTGGCCGTCAATTGATTATCCGGAATTCCTTCGGAGCATTTTGGCCGGGTCTACTGTATCCCCGGCTTCCGACAACGGTTCAGTATCCCGCGTTTTGATTGGACGGAATAACAGCCAATCAGCGCACACACATCTACATCGACGAAAGCCTCCGTAGGTACCTAGTCAAGTTGATTGTTAATGTACCAAGTGAAACAATTGGACGAACACATCAGATGCAACATTATAGGTAGTATTTCGAATTCTATGTACGGAACAATGCCTAGCACTCTCACACTAAGAAGAAACAGCCCAAGCTCTATCGTCACTATGCCCAACAAGAACGCCCATATGAATTGACAAGAAGGGAATCAAAAAGACTCTTTAAGCTTTCTCCCAAACGGAAGAAAACGACTCAAGAAAGTTGCTGAATATTTTAAGCACGAAGGAAAGTTTGGTAGGTTGAAGAGTCGGTGTGCTCGCTGAAGGGGTATCCCAAGTCTCTCAAGAAAGCCTCAAGTTCTTCCTTTTCAGTCTCGGGGCACTGGATACCAGCAAGCACCTTGCCCACATCTCCGCCGTAGTTGCGGTAGTGGAACAACGAGATGTTCTGGTTGGGGCGAAGAGTGGTCAAGAACTTGGCCAGAGCACCGGGGCGCTCAGGGAACTCGAACATGAACAATCGCTCATTCTGGACGCTGCTGCGTCCACCGACGAGGAAACGAACGTGCCGTTTGACGAGCTCGTCGTCGCTCAAGTCCTTCACACTCATACCCTCCTTGGTGAGGTGAGTCATGATCTTGGCCAAATCGTCTTGGCCCGTCAACGCAGACAAGGAGATACCCATCAGGACGTCGGCAGAGGCATCGTGGGCATACCGGTAGCTGAAGGCAGTGACCGCATGGGGAAGAATAACTTCAACGAGCTTGGCAAATGCGCCCGGCTTCTCGGGGATGTTGACACTCAGAAGAGCCTCCTTCCGCTCACCCAGAGCAGCACGCTCAGCGACGAAACGCAGACGATCAAAGTCCATGTTGGCACCAGAAGTGATAGCACACAACTCCCGGTTTGTGTCAGGGCTGGGATACATGCTAACATACTTCTTAAGGCCAGCCAGAGCCAGAGCACCCGCCGGTTCAATGATGGAACGGGTGTCCTCGAAGGCATCCTTGATAGCAGCGCATGTCTCGTCGGTCGAGACCTGAATAACTTCATCAATAACTTCACGGGCCAGCCGGTAGTTCTCCTCTCCAACGGACTTGACCGCCGCGCCATCGGCGAACAGACCCACTTCCTTAAGGAACACGCGCGACCCAGAGTCGAGAGACTGGTGCATGGCGTTGGCATCGTGGGCCTCGACACCAATGATCTTGACGTGAGGCGCGATGCGCTTGAGATACACTCCAATGCCAGCAATCAGGCCTCCTCCACCGACAGCGCAGAAAACAGCCTCAAGTTTCTGCAGGTTGGCCTGGCGCAGGAGTTCCATACCAATGGTTCCTTGGCCAGCAATCACGTAAGGGTCATCGAAGGGAGGAATGTTGGTGAGCCCGTGCTGTTGCTGCAGGCGGTGAGCTTCGTCTTTGGCCGCGTCAAAGTCATTGCCGTGGAGAACGACGCTTCCGCCCAGGCGAGCGACGTTAAGGTGTTTAATCGCGGGGGTGCCCGAAGGCATGACAATGGTGGCAGGGATCTTGAGATGGCGGGCAGAGTAGGCAACTCCCTGCGCATGGTTTCCTGCACCAAGTTTCCATTAACTCAAATGCTCCAAATATTACCTGTCAAAGTAGTGGGGCTGCTCACCGGCAGAGCATGCAATGACACCCTTCCACCGCTGCTCGTGAGTCAAGTGAGCCATCTTGTTGTAGGCCCCGCGCAACTTGAAACTGAAAACAGGAAGCAGGTCCTCACGCTTGAGCAGCACACGGCACTCCAGGCGGTTGCTGAGGTTGACGGCATGATGGAGAGGGGTTTCGTCGATAATGTCGTAGACCCGGGACGTTAAGATCAACCGGAGGTACTGTAAATAATAATCGCATGAGCAACACGCCAAGTGAGAAGAAAGCCAGGACCACAGGGCACTTACATCTGGGTAACCATTGGGAAGAAGATAGTCGTCGGGGATGCCCCAGTTGTAGGCAGTCGAGTCCTCCCCTTTTTCGGAGGTGGGAGTTGCAAGCGCGGACTCGGTCAAGGTGAGGTTACTGACCTTGGCGGAGACTGGAGTCGCAACGCCGTCGTCAGATACTTCGCTGGGCATATTCAAGTCTGCTGTATGGATAAAATGCAGGGAATGAACGTTTGGGGGATAAAAAGAGTGTAAGAACGAAGCGCCAGCACCAAGTGGGAGTCGAGACCGAGAAAAAAAGCCGCGGTGGCACTGACTAACTATGGTGGATAAGTCTCCCTTGCTATTCCGCGGGGAGGAGGGCGAAAATTCCGTGATCGGAGCGGAAAAGTTTATGTCATCAAACCCTCTCTTCCAGCCCTAAACAATAGGATGTATTCATCTACCTAGAGAGAAAAGAGATTTGATGCTTGTTTATCGCCTGAGTATTGCTTCCTTGATCCAAGCAATTAGCTTGTTTACTCCTCGCTTTTTGATTTCTGTTCCATTTGCCATACAGGTCCCCTTGCGGCAATAGGTGATTCATTCTGATCTATGTGCTCGGGCAGTTGCCCCCCCCCCAATACAAAGCCATGGATGGCCGGTGGATCCCAATCGATCGCAAGCATTAACAGTCAAAAACGAGTAAGGTGGCCAATCATCTTGAGCTCCCATAACCAGGACAGTCAAGGTTTTACTTGACTGGTCAACGGACAGCTGCTTTTTCTCTGGCGCCCTACTGGCGCCCTACTGATAACAGCAATTTACTCAGTGCATTGCTCAAGATAGCTGTTGCACGACATTCTTAGTAACGAAGAATATGTGGTGAGCTCAGCTTGTGCTATGTCCTGTAATTGCTTCTTGAATAGGTAATTAGTTCATCTCTGATATTACTAGTAGATCTATGATTCAGTGAAGTCGAGTTATCTGGCACCGCAAGACGTACAGATCATAATTATGCATAATAACAGTCCCGAACAATCAAGGCGTAAGTCGGCTTACTGTAACCTTACGAGATACCATTGTACTACCGTGTAAGTTACAATACACAAATTATCTCAAGGTTCGTTGCGACGTCATGTCACTTTCGGCATTGTTCGTCCATACCTCATATCTGCGCGATATCGTCAGAGAGGCAAAAGTGACGCGAAGAGTCACAATTTCATCCTCAGGTCGACCCTATTCCCTTGTTACTGGAAGATAGTCCTCCTGAACGGTGCCGCCTTACTTCAGTCACCCCTCTTGCGCTCTCCCACGCAGATCGCCACCTTCAATCAGCTCCCACTTTTTGAGTCCTACTATCAAGATGAGCGAGCCACTACCTTCCTCTTTCGATGACAACCCGTATGTATATATAATAAGGCACCTACAACAGCGGCCGTCAATCAGATGCTAACGGCCTTCGCGTCTGTAGTCAGTTCCAAGAAGAGACTTCGCTGCAGAAGTTCCGCAGGCGGCTCAAGCAAGAGCCGCTGATTCCGCTCGGTACGTTGACTCTCCCTCGCACCGATGTTTCCTCTCCATTACCTCTTTTGGAATTGTACTGACGGGACGGGTTGATTGACAGGATGTGCGGCTACCTGCTACGCCCTCTACCGGGCCTACCGATCCATGAAGGCGGGCGATTCGCTTGAGATGAACAAAATGTTCCGTGCCCGTATCTACGCCCAGTTCTTCACCCTGATCGCGGTGGTTGCGGGAGGCATGTACTACAAGACCGAGCGGCAGCAACGCAAGGAATTCGAGCAGGTTGTGGAGGCACGCAAGAGTCAGGAGAAGCGGGATGCTTGGCTGCGGGAACTGGAGATCCGAGACCAGGAGGACAAGGATTGGCGGGAGCGCCATGCCGCCATCGAGGCTGCCGCCAAGGATGCGGGCAAGAGAAAGGCGAATGCGGAGCAGGACGCTGCTCGTTCGGCCCTCGAGCCCTCCGAGGAGAAGCCCATCGGGGTTCTGAGTGCTGTTATGGAGCTCTTGTCGCAGCAGAAGTAAAAAAATCGACAAAGGGGGAACGTTTTCTGATTGATTTTCGCCGAAGTGTCTGGGTATCATATCTCATTGTACATACATATATTCTCACTGTTTTGAAGGGAAATTCACACTCTCCGCTAGCTACTCTTCCTTACCTTACTTGCATTACATGTCGATTGGCCATCTCAACCGGCAATCTGCTCGTCAATGTATCTCCTCATCGTTTCGAACTCCGCTTTGCCAGTCTGGATACTATTAGCAATAAAGCAGTCAACTCTAATCATGATGACATACTGAAAGCAGGTATCGAATATGTTGCTGTGGTCCGTCAGTACCACATTCAGCCTGCATATGTGCTCAGCACTTACTAGATCTGTCACATCTCGATGGCGCTCAAACTCGTTGCGAGCATAATTGCGCAGCTCCTCGCGAGTTGGTGAGTTGGGGATTGCTTCCACAATATTAGTACAAGACACCACCACATCGCATACGGCAGAATGAGAACATCAGACGAACAATTCAAGGCTCTGACTATCTCGCGCCAAAAGGCAAGAACCCGCTGTCTTTGAATGAACTAATACGAGATATTAGCGAAGTGAGTTTCCATCACCATGTTGATGGATCTACTGACATGATCAAGGCCAATAGTCGGTTTTTTAAGCTTGGAAGGCTGGTTCTGCGAAATAGATGCCAGAAGTCGTAATGTACTCCGCATTGTTGCTAGGTACTTTGCGATTATTCCTTGTACCAGTAGAGTCACCCAGCAAATCTAGTATGTCTCGATGCGACCACGACAATCCGCAGGTTATCCGGCGGTAGAGTGGCGGAAGGCAAGGCGGTCAGCAAGCTCGTGTGTATTCGTATGAAATGTTACCAGACACTCGGAATTTCTGATACATTCTCTTTTTCCCTCCGTGATTGTATTTTTGTTTTACCAAACTAGAGAACAACAGAGTGCCTAGTAGTACTTGGCCTAGGTTCTCTCTTGTTGGCCACAGAAATTCTTCCTATTTGACTTGAATAGTATGCTGCTTATCTATAGAGGTCGAAAAACTAAGGTGATTTCTGTACATGTGAGTCTGTCAGTATCACATTCTTCCAGATTGACAAACTTCAGACCCTGAGACCCGGTCCGAGCTCGGAGTATGTGTTTGTTGTGGTCGATTATACTAATGTAGAGAATACGATTGGCAAGTATGACTCCAACATAATCGGATCAAGCACCGGACGTAGTTACCCGTGACCGGCTTATCGATAAGAAGCACAATGCATTGGGAAGTCAATGGTCGAGTAAATACTCCGTAGTTATATGGTTTATGTTATAGTGATAGGAGTAAATACCACGCACGAGCGTGTGAAAACCGTCGACCCCTGATATAGACTTACTCTGTACTCCGTATCTTATCCGAGGATGTGACAGCGAACGCTCTTTAGCCAGCTGGTGCGTGGAAGATGTAACGGCGGCCCTGCGGCCTCAATGGTCAGGCTGCTCGCTCACCGCCCATCTCGGAGCCCTTCGCTAGTTCCTCGCATATGACTGAATCAATCCGTCTTCCACGTCTCGCAGGTGTCCTCAAGATGAAAAAAACTACAGCTTTTACGTATTATGAAATATTCCCTGCACGCCACCTCTTTGCCTTGGCAACTTGATGGCAAATGCTGTGTCTTACTTTAGCCCTTTACCTTTACAAGATAATTCTACTAGTAGGGGAAGCTCTTGACTGGCTGTGTGATCTAGGAGTCTGTCAGGTGCAAATTGAGTCAGACCTGTTAGACCTACGATCTGATTTTGGCTTAGGTTCGAGGTTCACAGCTGTAGAACTTGAATTAGACCATCATGAAATCTGGGAACGTATAGTACAACAGCGGCTGAGGCAGATATCACCAAAATGTGCATGTCAGATTCAATGAGAGAAATCTCATGGTATTACATGTATACATTAGTAAACCTCTGCACGATCATTGCACCAAGTATCTCGCAAGCGCTTCTTCCATTCCTTCAGAGGTATCAAATCTGACCCCACAGGGATAAAGGTGTTAGGAATCTTCGTTATCTCCCAATTTCGGACTTCGATGAACCGCCACTCTTTCCAACAAGAGTCGAGATCAGATGGACTCCGCTGTAGGTTTTTGTAGCAATCAATGTCCCAAATGTCAATACGCCTGACATCTGCAGCTATACATATCCCTGAAGAAACGAACTTGGGCTGTTGACACTTGTCACAGGTGTAATCCTTATGGTCCTGAGTTGGCTTCGGAGGTTGGATCTCAGAATCTTGGGTAGAGTCACTTGTATTCACAACCTTGGATACTTTGTTCACACCACGATCTTCAAGAGCAGCTGCTTCTATCCACCATCCCTTTTCGATCAAGACAAGAACCTTCACAATGGAAACCAAGGTTTCATCGTCGTGTAGACAACTTATAGCCAAAGCAAGTCCCTGAAGTGCTTCCATATCATTAGAAGGGTTGTTGTCCGAAAGCATCTCCAAGCATCGTAGAACTGTCACCTCCTGTACTTTCTTGGCTTTGGACTGTTTTCCAAGTCTCATGTAATATGCTGCCAACACGTTTGCTGCCGTTCCGGCTTGCGTGATATCGTGGTCCTCGGCCAATTTTTCCAGTTTTCTGCCGCACTCGCTCAAGCCATGAGCTGGTTTGCTTTTGTTATCCTGCCGGAAATAAAGCAATGCTAGAGCACTTATGACCTCCCGAACTTCGAAGCCAGTCACCGTGTAGAAATTGAAGTCACCACGAGAAGGTGTCGGGATATCAAGAGCTTCCTCCAGCAGTTGAATTGCCTTGTCGGAAACATCTGGATTCCCAACCTGTTCCATCCACATCATGAGCACCAAGCCAGAAGTCCGCATTAGTAAGAAACTAGCAGTTCTATCTTGAATTCTTCTGCTGAAATCCAGAAGTGCATCATAAAGATCACAGATAGAGGAAATATCCTGGGTCTTGAGAGCCATCTGAGATGCATCGAGCCAGAATTTTGGCTTTGTAACAGCCTGGATCAACGAGCCTATGCAGGTAGAATCCCAATTCGGAAGAGAAAGGCAGATCTTGTTTATGATAGCAATCAATCCCGGCCACTCCTGGGTAGCGATATACTGCTTCAGGATTATTGATATGTAAACTCTTGAAATAGAAAAAAGCTTTTCGACACTATTGAGATAATAGCGCTTAGCTGTCTCCCGTCGGTCTGGTCCCTTGTCCCAGTAGTTATGGGCCAAGGCGATAAGTGCAAGTTGATGAAATTCTTGCTGCCCCTCTTTGAATTCCGTCCTGTCATTATTGTCGAATTCTTTGACTAGCTCTTCCAAGAAAAGAACAAGTTTCTCGGGGTCTTTCTCGTATACTGCTGCACTGAAAAAGAGCTTCATGGTATCATTTGGTGCAAGCTCTTGAGCCTTTAGAATTCGTGCCACACTTTCATTCTTAAATCCCATTTTTAATGCCTTGCCTAGACCAGGGGTAGCTGCGCCTGCGAATGAAAAGATCAAACCCATGCTACAGTAGAAGCTCGGAAGCAAGGTCGAGTATTGGTCCTTGTAAGCGTTCATCATTCGCGGTTCGAGCTGCCGTAAATCATCCAACAAAAGAATAGAAGGCTTGGGATGATAACAACTTCTTGCTTCGCATCCAGAGAGCTACATGTTGTAGGGCTCTTGGTCAATATCTGCAATAACACACGAGATTGGATGTGAGCTTACCCGTGCTCGGAAACCGACCAAAAAGAAATAGGTTGTGATAAACATGCTCATTATGCTACCCGCTGAAAACACAATGCCATGGGAGACTGATTCCAGCGCAGTGGCAAAGAGTAAGTCACGTCGATTTTCTTGATCATTGGAGAAGGCTACTACGATCTGGCGAGCCTGGTCGCTAAGACCTTCGGTTGCCACTGGCCCATCCTTGAACCAGCGAGATAGCTGATTGCAGCCACGATCGCTATAGAGCCAATCCTCCCTGATTGAGTCCAGCCACCTTCCTTCCCCAATGCCTTGACCATTCGGCCATGTGGACTCATTGGCTACCTTTTCGGGTGAGCAAAATAATGTATCCATAGCTCTTCTTTTTGTGAAAAGCGTCGCCAGTGACCTTTTTACCGCCGCTTTCCAAGATGGATTGGCACGATGAAGATCAGTGCCCTCAAGATGGCGGAGTAGAGATAGTCCCGCATATTGTACCAAGGGACCTCTTCTAGGGCCATCAATGAGAGACGACAAACACGCAGACACGAGATCAAGATTTGCGTTATCTCGATCGACATGGAACTTGTACTGGTTTCGAGCCATGGGTCTCTGGAGTTTGCTCTCCAGAAATGGCTCAAATTCAAGTCTGTTGAAAAGTGTATCTGGACAGATATTGCGGAGACCATGTGTCACAATCTCAATCTCTGCTTTCAAGACAGCATCCCCCTGGCTTGTGTCGGCGAACCCTTGTCCTAATATATGGCGCTCAATCTCCAATGATCTCCAAGTCACTCTTTCAAACTCGTCAATATCGAAGATCGAGTATTCTTTTATCCTAGACGGCAGGTCTTGGAACCATGGTGTGTGCCATTTACTCCAGAGAGCCGCATCCAGTTCTTTGCACGTGAGTGGTCGCTGCCCATATGTGATCCAGTTGATAATGGTGTTGACCTCATTTATCTCATCGTCTATCAAATCTCTCTCAAGTTGGCGAAGAAGATTGCGAATGGATGTTTCAGCGCCGTCATCCAATGTTCTAAGAGCTTCGGATATCTGTGCAGGACTGCGACTTTTCCTCTCAATGAGATCCAAGACAGTGATGACTTTGGTCCAATTACCTCTACATTTAGAGCGCAACTTAGCCACGATATTGTTCCGATAATTCACAACCCAGCCATTTGAAATATCTGACAAACTTTTCATTTGATCCATTCTGACATTTGCGTAAATATCGATGTCAGTCTGTGAGTGCAGGGGAGCATGTATGGAGTTGAATGTCAACCCCCTTTCCAGTAAATACTGATACCTCTCCTGATTTGATGTCATGAAGAATCTGATCTGGTCGCTCTGGCTCAGAGTCATCAGGGATTGAAGCAAGGGAAACCATGGGTCATTGCCCCGCGCTGCAGAGAGGGTATCAATGAGAATGTAGAGCTTGATTTCATTGCTCCTTCTTGTCTCATTTTCCAACAGTAGTTCTTTCCAAAGATCGAGGCTTTTCATGAACTTCCGTCCCTGAATTAAGCCCGCCATAGAGCTTGCCAAAGAGAAGTTTTTGCGGGCACATTGCCAAATGATGCTTCGCATCATTCGACTTAGGACGCCCTCGTTGTCGGTATCAACAGTTGACATATCATTTTCGAAATAGAAGAGCACAAGCTCGCCTTGTTGGAGCAGCCGTTTTACCTCATTGGCCATTGCGAAAGTCTTTCCTTCTCCGGTGTTACCAGTCAGAAGTAAGACTGGATGTGTACCCTCTCTCCAGGCTTTATATTCGTCCAAATATTGGATCCAAGAGCCTGTGCCGTCGAATGGGTCCTTATAAGCTTGGCCAAGGCATCTTCCTTCAGGCTCGCCGTTGTGGTCCAGATCACCGGGATTGAAAGAGAGTCCGTCAGCAATGATTCGGAGATAGTCTTGATACTGCTTCGGTTGAGCTGTCGCATCGAGAACTTGGTAAAGAGCTGAATCATTTCGATCCTTCCTCAGCTCGTCCAACTCCATTGTAAAGGTTCGTACCACGCTGTCGTCTAAGAATGTCGACTTGAAGACAGCTTTGAGCCGTTCTGTATGGCTCTTGCGGATTTTGTCCCACTCACAGCAAATGCTAAGGAACAGGGATAGATACTTTTGGACTTTCTTTGCAAATGGGGGACCAATGTGTCGCATGTAGCACATGTTTTCCAGCCCTGTCATACAGTTTCGCAACAACTGTTCCAATTGGACTGTAATACCTGCGTATACTTTTACGCCACTTAGTAGAAGGGCGATGCCTGCGAAGCAAGGTGTTGCTGGCGAGAAAACCTACGCCGAGTTGATAGTATCAGCCGACTGAGTTCAAGGGCGTGATCGTTTATACAGAGCTTACCGTTGATGCACCTTGTGCAACGAGGTTTCCAGCAGTATTCACTGCATTGCAAAAGCCGGTCACCGCGCCAATCAGGCTGCTCTGGTCATAGCCCTTCGGAAATGAAGTCATGCTAACAAGCTCCCTAATGTCCATTTGGCTGATATCCTTATCCTTGAATTCCTTCCCAAAGAGCTCCCTCATATATTCCTCAACCTGAGCCCAAACTTCTGCGAGTACTTTTTCGGTATCAGGACTGAGATCCGACGTTTGAAGCATGCGTCTGAGCTTGTCGACAGGCGACTCAGTGGACTCGACTGGTTTGATTGCTTGGTGGTTGTCAGGTCGGGTATAGGTTGTGTGTTTAGTGTCATTACCAATGCCAGAGCGCTGGAACGAATTCTTTATATGAGTGAAAACCACCATGATGACCTGACAAGTCTTAAGCTTGGAGAGGTTTACTTGGTTCTAGCTTTGGTTCTTTCTAGGCTGTTTGGCAGTGAGGCTCAAGGGAGCTTAGTCGATCAACTAGTAGAGAGGGGTAACAAGCAAACAAACGGAGATGTACAGTACACCTCACGTGGACATTCACGTGGTGCATTTTTGATAAAATAACACCAGGCTCTGATCTGCTCTACTGCCACTTCCCAGGGGCCTAATGCGATTTGATTGTTACATGTAACTATCGTTATGGGATGGCAGTCATCAACAGTAGTACTGTCTCAAGTGAGAATACTATATTCTAGGTTATATTGACCTCAGAATTGTAGTATAGATGAGTAAAAGTCACATCATTGTATTAGGAACAGTACAGCAGCTAAAGGTACATGCTGAAAAAACCACCACCGTTTTCTCCGCCAAAACCCATGTACTCTCCGATACTCCGTAGGATCAGCCGATGGAGAACACGTGACCGCGTGCCTGGCTTCCCCGAACTTTTTTTCGGGGCCGCAGAAAAGAAATCAGGTCGCGGTTCCCGGCTGTCCTAAAAGAGCACCAGCGCTCATTCAACGTTCTCGGTGTCGTCGGTCACAGTCATGAGGTGTCCTACTCTTTCACGGTTGCCATACCGTGCTGTCTCTGGCTTGGCCAGGACTCCTGTTCGCCTTCAGTCTCAGACCCTTCTTTCGCGGAGATGCGCTTCCACCGCTGTCCTCCGTTCAGCCACTGTTGCTCCGGCTTATCAGTCCGTCCTCAGCAAACAGAACCAGCAAAGGAGGAATGCCTCCGCCACTGCCAATGCTGTGTGAGTATCTCCTGGCTCTACTTGTCTATTCTTCTGTCAGTCTACTATATCTCCTAATACACGCTTACTGACTCATGTATTGCATCGTTCTAGCCTCGAGGCCGCCGCTGCCACCCCCGATGCTCTGTCGCAGGAGGCTATCATTGAGAATCTCGACCCTGTTGAAGCCGCACGCCTGGATAAAGTCCGCAACATCGGTATTGCTGTAAGAAATCCACTTACGCTCTTTGGCTCGGCTGTCTACATTTGCCTAACATACTTTCTCGAATCATTAGGCACACATCGACAGTGGTAAGACGACATGTACCGAGCGAGTCCTTTTCTACACTGGCCGTATCAAGGCCATCCACGAGGTCCGTGGCCGTGACAGTGTAGGCGCGAAGATGGACTCCATGGACTTGGAGCGTGAGAAGGGTATCACCATTCAGTCTGCTGCCACGTACTGTGACTGGGTGAAGAAGGACAAGGAGGGCCAGGAGCAGAAGTACCACCTCAACTTGATCGATACCCCGGGTCACATTGATTTCACCATTGAAGTCGAAAGAGCGCTGCGTGTTCTCGATGGTGCGGTCATGATTCTGTGCGCTGTCTCCGGTGTCCAGTCCCAGACCATCACTGTCGATCGTCAAATGAGACGTTACAACGTCCCCAGAATCTCCTTCGTGAATAAGATGGATCGGATGGGTGCCAACCCCTTCAAGGCCGTTGATCAGATCAACACCAAGCTCAAGATCCCTGCTGCTGCTGTTCAGGTGCCGATTGGTGCTGAGGACGAATTCGAGGGTGTGGTCGACCTCCTTCAAATGAAGGCTATTTACAACCACGGCCCCAACGGTGAAGAACTTGTGGTCAAGGACGAGATCCCAGCTAAGGTCAAGGATGTCGTGGAGGAGCGGAAGCGCATGCTTATTGAGACTCTCGCTGACGTGGACGACGAGATCGCGGAACTCTTCCTCAGCGAGATCGAGCCCACCGAGGATCAACTGAGACAGGCTATCCGCCGCGCGACCATCGGTCTCAAGTTCACCCCTGTCTTCATGGGTTCGGCTCTTGCCAACAAGTCTGTGCAGCCCATGCTTGATGGTGTCATCGATTATCTTCCCAACCCTTCCGAAGTTCAAAACCTCGCTCTCGATAAGAAGCGTGCCGAGGCTTCGGTCAAGCTCGTTCCTTACAACTCACTGCCATTTGTCGGTCTCGCTTTCAAACTGGAAGAGAGCAACTTCGGACAGTTGACCTACATTCGTGTTTACCAAGGCACCCTGCGCAAGAGTGCTAACGTCTTCAACGCACGCACGGACAAGAAGGTCAAGATTCCTCGCATTGTGCGCATGCACTCCAATGAAATGGAGGATGTTAGTGAGGTCGGAGCGGGTGAAATTTGCGCTGTGTTCGGTGTCGACTGTGCTTCTGGTGATACTTTCACTGATGGCCAGCTGGGTTACACCATGTCGTCTATGTTCGTTCCTGAGCCCGTTATCTCTCTTTCCATCAAGCCCAAGAACGCCAAGGATGGCGCCAACTTCTCCAAGGCAATGGCTCGTTTCCAGAGAGAGGATCCTACCTTCCGTGTGCACTTCGATAACGAGAGTGAACAGACGATCATCTCCGGTATGGGTGAACTGCATTTGGACATCTACGTGGAGCGCATGCGCCGTGAGTACCGGGTAGACTGTGAGACCGGTCCTCCTCAAGTCGCGTACCGTGAAACCATCGGCCACCGCATTGAATTCGATCATCTGCTCAGGAAGCAGACCGGTGGTCCTGGTGACTTCGCCCGCGTTGTGGGTTGGATGGAGCCTACTGGCAGTCTGTCGGAGAATGTTTTCGAGGAACAGATTGTTGGTGGCAGTATCTCGGAGAAGTTCGTGTTCGCCTGTGAAAAGGGTTTCCACATGGCTTGTGACAAGGGTCCTCTCATTGGACACAAGGTCCTGGGTACCAAGATGGTCATCAACGATGGTGCTACTCACATGACCGATTCCTCTGAAATGTCATTCAAGAACGCAACCCAGCAGGCGTTCCGCAAGGCCTTCAAGGAAGCCAACCCCTCTATCCTCGAGCCTATGATGAAGACTGTTGTCACTGCTCCTTCTGAGTTCCAGGGTGATGTTATTTCTCTCTTGAACAAGCGTGGCGCTACCATCAATGACTCCGAAGTTGGTGTCGATGAGTTCACCGTCCAAGCCGACTGCAGCTTGAACGGTATGTTCGGCTTCAGTAGCAACCTCCGTGCCGCCACCCAGGGTAAGGGTGAGTACACCATGGAGTTCAGCCACTACGAGAAGGCCCCTGGTCACCTTCAGTAAGTATCCCCCAAACCCATAGACGTTGCACGTTGCAAGTGAAGGCATCGAGGGTGCTAATCTCCATTCTCAACCTTTCCAGGAAAGAGCTCATTGCCAAGTATCTGAAGGCCCAGGCCGACAGACACAAGAAATAAGCGACGGGAATCGCTTTCCGACCGCGTTAACTCGAATGCAGGGGGCAGCCCTCTCATACATCGCGCGAGTCCCAGGCCATACTGGCTCGATCCCACTCTCACATAATCACCTGCGAGGGCTTCGGAGACGAATGAACTACACTCCGGCTCCTCTTTCTCCTGTATAACTGACTCCTTCCCAAAACCGGTCCGGCGTGTTTTTGAATATGAAGATGATGTGTTCCTTTTTTTTTCTTATCTCTGTCCAAATACCTCGGGCTCATGTATTATTTACCAAGCAAAATAGATAACCCTTCTGCGCGTTTAGACCAGAGGTCCCTTCCAAGGCTGTTGTGTGGGCATGCAAAGCCCCGAGCTCAGAGGCATGGATGCATTTAACACAGATTGTACATAAAGTTTTTGATAGTTGGGTTTCGATATATCTCCTCTCCTGAACGAATGAAGTTCGAAGACATACAAAAGTGCTCCAGATATAGACAAAGTATTTTGTTTGAAGAACAGGCACCTGGCTAATGCATGGCGAGTTCTGGAATATGCCAAATCCATCCAGGTCTATATCTATCTCGGGTTAGATATGCCGCCCCTCAAGCTCATATCTTAGATTTAACACCTGGCCAAGGCTTCAATGCGGTAATTCTACCTCTTTGTGCGAGATTTGATCGTGCCCTCATTCAGAGGACAGGATATTGCGGGTCTCTTTACGTTTACGGTGGGAGATTCACTGCGAATCCCAGTGGCCACCTCCTTGTTATTTGGTGCAGCTAGATCCAACTAAAACTATGCTTCAGCCATCGAAGGCTCTCAGCACAGCCAAGGCGGCAACCGAGAACGTTGCTACGCGATTATGACCTGGGAGACAGCGTGAATAACCGAGTAATCACTCCTCCAATTCGAACCGGGGACGGCAGTGTCACTTACCTCCATACGCCACACGTTCCCATCGGACCCTCTTGACCACAGCAGAGTCCTTGGCCGAACTGCTCTCCCAGATCTGGACCTCATTAGGTCCGCCAGCGGGGTCCCTTGTCGACACCACAATCTTCCCGGGGCCGTCCTCGACCGCTTCTCCCGTGGCCGCGGCCCAGACGCGCCGGCCTTCTTGCCAGGGAATCTCGACATCGTTGGCTGCATGCACGATGAACAGGTTCAGCCCCTGCTTGGCATACGCTGGGGCTGGATGGTGGTCTTTGTCAGTGGTGCTGTTGTTGTTGCTGACGCCCGACAACCGCGCAACCCGGGCAGCCGTGTCCCAGCGGTCGACGATCTGGCGCTTGGCGTAGTCTTTGATCCCGGGGTAGGCGGAGAGGGGCGCGAGCATGGGCGGGGTGATGCCCTTCACGCTGTAGGAGTCGATGAGGCTCGGGACGTTGCTGAAGGAGGCTAGGAGGATCACGCCGGCGAAGGGCTCCGGGTTCGTGAGGGCGGGCTGGAGAGCCGTTGGGTCGGAGGACCCGAATGCGAAGCGTTCGGCCACGGCGGCGGTCACGGCGGTCCCCAGGCTCTGGCCCATGATGACGATGCGCGACGGCGGGATTCTCAGCGGGCCGGCGGTGAGATAGTTGAGGAGGGCGACACCGTCGGTGATGAGGCCTTCTTCGGTGGGTGAGCCGGTGGAGAGGCCGAAGCCCCGGTAGTCCAGGGCGAAGACATGGACGGGATGTGACGGGGTCGAGAGTCCGAGAAGTTGCCGGTAGATGTCTGGTCGCTGGGCTGAGGCGAGGTGGGCAGCATTGCCGTGGACTTTGGTGGTCGAAGATATGTGACGTGAGTGATGTTATAGTGTTTTGTTGTTTCGACGGGGTGGGACTCACAGTTGACAACGACTCGCGCATTGGGGTCGTGGGCGAGCAGCTTAAATGCTGAGGTCTTGGTGTAGTCCTCCGCTGGGCCGTATCGTTCGTTCTCATGTAGGTTATCTTCGTGTTCCTTGCACAGTTGCAGCGGAAGAAGATGCCATGCGTACAAGGTCTCGTTGTCGGGAGTTACCAGGTTGAAAGGTTGTACTTGCGTCTCTATGCGCGTGTCAATACCTGGTTATTTATTATCTATTCAGAGGATCGAGGTTTAGAGCGTACTCAGGAATCCGAAGGACTCAACAAGGTTGATGTCCTGCCATCGTGTAGGGTTCACTTTATGAACATAAAGTGCACTGGCAGGGCAATAGAAGTATGGCGAACCGGTCAGCTGTGGAGTTCCAAGTTGCTTTAACTCAGGTGAGTGGGTGGCAGCAAGAATCATACAAGCGTTGGACTATAGGATATGTGAGCGCATAGACGACAAGCACATAGAACAGGCCTCCGGCTGCCAGCGACCAGTAAGCTTTTCGAAAGATGGACTGAAGCTCAACCATGTTCTGAAGAATGATTTCAGAGATGAGTAGATATCAGATCATGCAAGCAATTGACGTGGAGATCACATGCATAGCATGTACAGTCAAATAAGTTAGTCGAGGCGGAGGTTCGATTTAGTTGAGGCTCGTTTGTCCGATTCGGTCATTTTCCCTCCCGCTATTTTTCTCTCCGCAACTCTCCCTTCTTATTATCACCTACATTGGTTCTCTGCGCAATGCTCCCCATGTATTGCACGGGGAGCTCAAACAGAATCATACAACCATAATTTCTTCAAATCACCTATCCTACTAATAACCTCCCTATGGCCGAAAAACGGAGACTCTCCGCCCGCGAACGCCGCGAGCCTGCGGCGAAGCGACGGGTGTCCGAAGCCGCGCCTCGATCCTCCCCTCAACCTCAACAATCGTCCAGACGAAAGGCTTCAACGCCTGTTGTTGCTCCGGCCCCCCCTTCCCCGCAGCCAGAAAAGATCGAAAATCCCCTACCTACCAAAATCAAGGATGGAGAAGCTCTTCCCACCTTGCCCGCTCCGCAGCCGGAGGACCTCTCGTCGAAGGAGTACCAGTCGATCGCGGAAAGGTGCGAGTTCTCCTCCAGGCTGCTGTTGCAGGACGCATTCTTTACAAGGAGCATTTCAACCGACTGACTTTGTGTAGCGCGATCCTTCTTGCCTCCCTAGAACGATCGAAGAAGAAATGGCTTAGCGACGGCATTCTCGAACGGTACTGGACCAAACCCAAGAAAACGAAGAGAGAGCAGATCGAAGGCAAGAATCCACCCAAGGACAGCATGTCCAAGGTTGGAGCTTGCAGTATTGTGGTCGGCCCGCACCTGTTCGATGCTATGTTATATACGGTGAAAGACCCCAATGCGCCGCCGCCGATTCAGTATACACCACCCCAGCGCCCGATGGTTCATTACGGCCATCCCAATAACTTCCAACAATATCATCCGTATCCGCAGGGTCCCACTCCTCCACAGCAGTCACGCCAGCAGCAGCAACAACCGCCAAAACAAAAACAGCAGCAGCAACAGCAACAGCAGAAGCAGCAGCAGCACCCTCCTCATGGACCACAAGCTACTCCAGGCACGCCTCAGCCGGCCTATCCTCCTGCCAGCCATCCACCTCCACCGCATCCCGCTCGAACACCTAGCCACACTCCTCACCGGACGCCCGGGCCTCAAGCAGCGCAGCGACCGTCTCCGGCACAACATCCTCAGCCCCAGCAGCAGCAGCCGCCACAACCGCCGAAGCCCAGCCCAGACCCAGTGATTCAAATGCTCGCAACTCGAGCTGCCTCCGACCCGGACCTCAAAGCCTTGATGCGGGTGGTGGCTTCCAGCAAGGCGTCTCAGGAGCAATTACGTGCTTTTCAAGCTCACATAGATGAACTCAACGCTATAATCAGAGCAAGGGAGCAACAGCAACAAAGACAGCAGCAGCAACAGCAACAACGCCAGCAGATACAGCAGCAGCAACTACAACAGAGACAACCACTACCACTTACTCCTGCTCATCCGCAGGCCGCGCCCAGAACACAACAACCTCCCCACCAACCACCTCAGACGCCGCAACAGACACCACAGCCCCCTCCTCCCCAACAACGACCTCCGCAGCAGCCAGTGCATCCAACCCCGCAGACACAGCCTCAAACCCAACCACATCCGCGTCTTGAAGTCCAATTTAAATCATCGCCATCTGCAGGTCCAGCAGCAGCGCAATCTGGCGCGCCATTACAACCCCCGCAGACTCCAACTCCACAAAACTCCAAGGCACAGCAAATCAAACAGGAGCCCGGGCCTGTCGCGCAAATCCAGCCGGCTACACCACAAACTCCTCATCCGCCTGTTGCACCGGGGCCAGCGCCAGTAATGGAAATTACCAAGCAACCCACCCCAGGAGGACGTCCCGCGCCTCCACCGCAGCAGCAGCAGCAGCCGCCGCCGCAACATCAACCACAACAATCTCAGACGCCAGGACCACGCTCAGGACCTTCTTACCCGCAATATCAGCAACCTCCGTATCAAGGCCACCCCCCTGCAATCCAGTCACGTCCACCGCAGTATGGATCACCCACTCCATACTATCGCCCGGCCCCTCCGCCGCCGCCGCCACCACCACCTCCAAGGCTCAACTACAAGTCCGTCGTCTTTGAGTTCACCTCTCCACTGACTCCGTACGGTAGCAGTACCTCCGGTCACGCAGGTTCAGGCGATCGCTATCTATTCCCCGAGTACACGATCCTGGAATGGCTCCCCGGAGGAACCACCGTGCTCGCCTCCTTCCTTCTCGTGCGTAAAGTGGATCCCAAAGCGCCGTTCCCCATCGAAACCGGCACCGAACCACCGTCCAGGGCCAAAGGCAAATCCGGCTCCAAATCCAAGTCCAAGAAGGCAGCGGTGGCAGCAGCAGCAGCAGCAGCAGCCGACAAGAACAAGACACCTGCGGCTACACCCTCTCAACCAGAGAAACCGAAGGATGCAGAAAAAGAGAAGGAGAAGGAGAAGGACAAAGAGCCGACCAAGGAGAAAGCGGAAGAGAAACCTGCTTCTTCCACAGAACCAACGCCCGCTACTGCAACCGCAGGGGACGGTAAACCCGCAACCCCGAACCCCACTCCAACCGAAGGCGGCGGCAGCAGCAGCAGCGACAAACCAGCAGCCAGCGAGCAGCAACCCGACAGCACCAAAGCCGCCGCTACGTCCACCACCACCACCACCACTACCACCACAAAGGACCCGGCCACGACGGCGAAAGAGCCCCCCTCCGCCGCCGCCGCCGCCACCCCGAAGGACAGCAGCAAGAAAAAAGACGACGACCCCAACCTGAAGGAGTACTACCAACCCGTCACGTTCCGGATCTTCAGCAGCAATCCCAAGGTCCTCGAGCCGCTGACCCGGGTCGTCAAGCCCGCCGACGAGGTGCGCAAGTACATGAACGAGATCATGGATCGCGCCGAGCGGGCCCCCGACGGGTTCCTGGCGTATCGTCTGCCGCGGGAGGAGCAGGAGGATGCTTCCTCAAACAACAACAATGCCAGCAAGGAGGTGGATGATTCTGTTGGTGGTGGGCGGAAGACCGGGGGCACGCCTGTGCCGCCGGGCCAGCGGAGTCGATTCAGCTCGCGCGGGAACAATAATAAGGCGACCGACTCGGATGTTGAGCTCAGTGAGCAGCAGCAGCTGGGTGATGAGGAGGACGCGGTTGAAGGGGAAGAGGAGGAGGAGTTGTTGGATTTCTATGGGCCGCCTACGGGCCTTCCGCCTTTGGGGCCTTGAATATTTTCAGCCCCCCCCCCCCCCCCTCCCCGGCCCGCGTTGGCCACTGTCACTGCTCCCTTCGAGGTATATTAGAGATCAGGTGTAAGCTTTATATAATTCCCCATTCATCAATGACTACGCGGTGCAGTGCGTCCGTCGCAGGACTTTCCCCAAACTCTTTGTAGCAAGTTCAATTGATTCTCGTCTCTGGTATCAACAAAGCAATAACAACGTATCAAACCCTCCCATATGCGCCAACAGCTAAAGTTATGTGTAAAATGCTTGACCAAATCCAAGTTTGTGCCCGGCAGGAGCCTCTCTGCGCAAACATCATATACAATCTCAAACAACCGCGAACGGGTCACGATCGTAACCAATCAAACCACATGTGAGCCGCCTCGTCGACTACTGTCCCCAATGATTCCGGCAGTCTCCAACAGCCAGCGAGCACTTTCAGCAGCCGAGTCACCCGCCCCGGCCTTGAGGTTCAAATTCCGCCGCCGCTCCGCCTCGCGCGCTTCGAACTCCCACTTCGCCTGTTGTAGCTCGACGGCGCTTTTCCCGTCCTCGGAGATGGTGGTCGTCGGGTCGGGGACAAGACCCCAGATCTCGAGGTTATAGATGTCTATGCTCGTCTTGTAAGTGGTTTCGGCCCCTATGCTAGACACTGGAGGAAGAAACGACCCGTCGTGGCCGACAGGGTGGACGTAAAAGGTCGCTGTCTCGAGATTGGCATCGATGGTCAGACTGCCAGCCCCGAGCGGAGTGGGAGGCTTGTGGTTGCTTCGTGACGAGGGCGGAATACGGCACCCTATAGATATTCCCGAGCTTGTGGAGAAGTAGGCTGCGGGAGTGTCTGGCTTTTGTACAGAAGGGGAAGAATTTCCTTGCAGAAGCATGTGTTTTGGGGAGAGTTGGAAAAGACAGGGGAGGACTGAGTTGGAGAATTTGGAAGATGAGGTAGTTGACGAGGGCGACTTCCAGGGCTGTGGTAAGTATGCGCCGAGGTTCATCGGGCCGTTCGTCTCGGATACACCCTCAAGAAGGAGTAGTGTACCCGATGACCAAGTGAGAACGTTGTGCGAAAAGGATGTGAGCGAGGAGCCATGTGCAGCCGTCGAAAAGACAGGGTGTAAGCGCGTATGGCCGCGAAGAAAGTTCAGGTCCTCGGATGTAGAAGGAAGGAAGAACGAGAGGTGTGAGATGATGCTCGTGTTCAATATCACTGATTCGAAACTTCCCTCCAGCATAATCGAGGGCGAGGAGTGCAACTGCAACTCGTTCAAAGCGGGCTTATCAGATTTCGATTCTGTCAAATCCGGCGTATCGCGCTTCTGGGACAGGTCCAAGTTCTTGCTGAACAAGAAGTGCTCAAACAACAGTGTCAAAGGGTCAAACAAGTACGGTAATGAGGAGGCCACGCTTTCTGCGAAAGACTTGTACCTGATCCCTCCAGATGATTCCTGGTGGAAGGCTGCCAAAATGCTGTCTGTTTGTTTCCGGATTGACTCCATGCGAGTCACGCTCAGATTCGAGGTGTAAAATGCTGCAGACTCGGTGGTCTTCAGATCTGATATCACAATCAGCAGCATAAGCAGGCGACGAAAAGTATTGTCGGAGATTCGAGCTTCATAGACCGCTCTCTCTACGCGCGAATCATGTTTGAAGACCTCGATCGCGTCGAGTGATTCCAAGGCAGCCAGAGCCAGGTCATCATCCTCTTCATCGTCGTACCCGT